GGTTCCGAATCATGGTCGCAGACATAAGCCATTTCATGGCAGATTCGTCCAGTTGCCTTTCTTACAGCCCCGTTGGCATCATCATGAATCTCCGTTTAGCTGATGTTCCCCTGATAATATGAAGTTTCTCAGATTTCCATCATGGGCCGCATGATGGAGAATACGGATAGCATATGGTTAACTGGCTGTAGATTTGCTTGTGGCTATTCCAAGCTGAAGATCTCTTTCTCGACGGAACCAAAGCGCTGTCGCTCATAATATCGACGCGTTACCTGGTCCCGGATTAGCACATATGAGCTTATACAACGACGGCCTATAGCAAATCAAGCGCTCCTTGCGAATAGCAATATCCGTGTGATTCGACAGACCATGGTATATAAGGGGTAATCGGGGCTGAACTGCTTGTCCTCGTCGACGTCCTTCTTGTAGGGCTCAGAACGCTTCCCGAGCTTTGGCAGGCGTGCTGAAAAGGCAGCATAACTGCGTTGCGGAATCATCGACTGGCGCGATGTCATGCATCCGTCCGCTGTCTTAATTGCAATCCAGGGTTCAGCGTACTACCTAGTGGCCGCATGCAATGTCTCGGCAATACATTACTTTCGGGACTCAACATATGATCTCAACTACAAACATATCTGCAAGCCAAATGCACTGATGAATACTAGAGCTACAAGGTAGCCATGGCCGGCCTCCAGGAAGAGATAAACGAACTTCGAAGGCGGAGGGCATGTGATTTCTAACCCAACATGTGTGGTCTTGTGACTGAAGAAGTTCAAGGGATGAAAACGCATTATGATAGATACTACAAAGTGCCGTCGCTTCTGCAGATGACATGGAAAGAATGATACTTGAACACGACAGTATCATGAGAGAATGAAATCTTTTCTCTCATGATGGATGAATGAATTGGTCCCGGGGCTCGAGGGCCAACAATGGGGCAATATTTTCGCCGAAGAAGACTTTTGAGCGCCAAGAAATGGACGCAGAACACATAAGGATGCTGCACAAGATGATGCCATACATAAACCGGGGGCCAATCTTGCATTCTTTGTCTCCACATCTCGAGTTCCTTGAGGGATTGATGTGTACCACTGGATTATAATGCGTTTGCCCCATGCGTTAGCTTGAGTGACAAAGGCGCCGACGGGGTTTGAGCCTCCCATTCTATCATCGACTGCACAATCCGCTTGGAAATATCTGCCCAGGAGTGTTCGTGTTGGTTTCCCCCAGTTTATTCCGCACACTATAGATAGATGGTTCTGATCCAAGTTGATAAATCGTGCTTGTGTCATGCTTCATCGCCATTGATCGAAGTTGGGATGGTCTTCCATCCTGCTCTCTGGGCGGTCGTTTACATGTGCCGCAACAATTCGGGGAACGCACGACCGGAGAGCTGGTGTTATTTTGCCGTTTTTGTCCTTGGTAAACTTCTGCGAGTGGGACTTTGACGATGGAGTAAAGTCCTCCTAGCCGATCTTCTCGAAATCATTATCTGCGTCATTGACGATGGTGAAGACGCACTTGTGCCCGATAGGCAGGCTGGGGTTGAGTAGCCTCTTTCCCTTTATGGAGAACTTCGGTATAGCGACACGGTATGCTAGCTTGTCTATATCCCTGCCGAAGAAGGAAGTCTTTGGCGAGGTTGACCTAGGTAATGGATGGAAAGGCGTTCTGGGTACCCAGAGTACGTCGGTAGATCTTTTCCTCATAATGGTGTAGAATTACTGCACGCCAGGCTTTGCGAATTTGATTAGAAGTGAAGGTGATATCCTTCGACACAGCAGCGGGTGGCGTCAAGCCAAGGGCATGCTAAACGTTAAAGTCTGGGGGGGCTATCGATCTTGGCCATGATGACATATTGTTTATCAAGTACTTATGAACAAAAGCGAACTGCCCAAGTGAACGTGTCCGTGGCTTGAAATCCGTGGGATCCAGCCCCGATGCCTCCTCCATCTACATAGAGTTTCAGTCTAGATAGGCAATTATGTAGATCTGGAATGTGATCTCCACTGATAACATTGCAATCCATCTGACTCAGGTCCTGGAGTTTAGCTGGATATCGAAAAGACTGACTCTAGCAATACGCTCAGAGCGGAAGAAAGCCTGTCATGAGCACCAACTGGAATGCTGACATCTAGTTGTCCTGACCCTTCGAGCAGGTTGGGATCCATGCCCATTTTTCTGGCCCTTATGCTCTGCATCGGGATCGCATTCAACCAGATGAAATTTCATCTCAATGATGAGGCTGACGCTTACAAGCCTTCAAGGGCCCGGGAATGTATTATAATGTAAGTTTCTTATGTTTTTAGTAAGAAGGCAGCGCAATCCGTCATCCCATTGCATCTCAAGGTGTCGAATTGCCGTACGGCCCGTAATAGAGGTGGGACGTCTCTCTCGACATCCTACAGCCCCTTTCGGGTTGGAATGAAACGTTTGTTTATTTGCACTTGGTCGTGCTTGCGTTGGTAAATCGTCACGACGAGAAACGCGGCCCGTCTTCGCTCGAGGCTGTCTCATATTGCTGCAGAATCGCATCAGCTCGAATGAGGACGTGCGTGGTTTGTTGTACCCGCAGAGAACGGCTTGAAACCTGCGCAATCCTCATTGAATCGAAGAACTTTTGCCTGTGAAGAGCACGGAGAGAGCTATAGCAACCATCGCATATCGCTGTGAGATTCAACCAGCCTACTGCCGGTTGGCCCTGTGTTCTCATCGCCATTCTTTTGCCAAAGCAGGCCGTGAACAGTTATGGTTCGTGAAGTGGGTCGAAGGCTTTGGCATAGGGCCCGGGGATTGAAAAACCATAAGGAGCCAAACAGGCTGGCAAGAGGCCATGCAGGACCTCGATGCTGTTCTTGTTGGTGTGCTTCATCGGCTGTCCTCGTTCGTCGTCCTTATCACTGTCCTGCAAAGGCACTGTCCAGGCAGCCAAAAGTGACATACTGGCAATATCATCGTCATGTCTTCTCCGGCGGCTTGATTGTCTTAGGGGTCGTCTCTCATTGGCAGTCCGCAGAATTTGGACATGGGTACTTCGGCGCAACTGGCTGCGTTGCTAAGCCGCTTATCCGTATGAAAATCGAAGTGGACCATGGAGAACTTTGTCGGATCCATTGGCTGTGGCCGTGGTCTGAGTTTGGCTTAAGTCCTCCAGGCACATCGATGACTCCGTTCTCCACCGCCAGCCTCATGTATTTGGCTGGGCTTTGAGAAAGACAATGAAGCCGGTTCTGTAGCCTGAGAACGCTGGCCGGGAAGATCCAGAAGAAGCTCTAGTGCTCGGAACTACGCAGCTCCCGCCTTGAAGCGGCCTGGCCCAGGCAACATGAGTCGATGTCAATTCTCATAGGCCAACACCAACGGCTGACGTGCGAGGTTTCCAGCCAGTGTCTCAGGTAGCCCAAGGAGTCCGGCTTGAGAACAATGCAGCAAGCCCCGAAGTCTGTTCCACGGCGCAGAAGAACTATGATGAGCGTAGACGGCCATGACTATAACGGTTGTGTCCGGTCCTCCTCGCCAAAGGCACTGTAGCATAGCCAGCGTATGTTGACTCTTTCGTCTGTTCTGCCCATAGAGGACCCGGATATACTGTTTGGTGGCATTGCCCATGGTGACTGAGCTGGTAGGACGAAGCAGACAGGACTTTCGCTTCACCTTCATGGTACCGGGCACCTACTCCTCACAATGCCTTGAGATCCGGGACGGACATCCCTGTACGTTGCATGTGTCTCTTCGTGAGATGTGTACGGGGTAGTGCAAATAGCACCAACCGAATCAAGGATAATCAACATCAGTCGCTTTATAGGGCCCCGGGTTGTAAGTGATGAAGCTCGCGACGAAAACAACACTGTGTCTGACTACATCGCTGCCAGATGTTTACCACCTCATCACCATACGGAGACCGCATGACCTCCGCGCAGGTTGTCGACGTCACTTCTATCGATGCCTGGTGCGGAAATTATGTGTTTGGCGAGCTTTGTCATCCGCCAGACAGCGCGGTGACGTTGGTTACCATGTTGCAGAGCCGCGATTGAGAATATCGATGAACTCATGCTTGGTAGTACGAAGTGGTCCTGTACGGCCGAGGTGACGCACGAATCATCTGCAGAGTTATAGATCTCATCGATGTCATGATGTTCGAGGCCCGGGGTTCAGCCATGGCGGCTTCTTCGCCACCTTGAGGTTCGAGACAGGCATCTCTGTATATGACAAGTGTCTAGTTTCCCAAAACCAATGTGTTTACGTTTTGCAGCACCTCACACGCACACCGGACCACTGCAGATTACAAGGTCTTGACGATGATGTGTGTGTCTCTGATCTTGATAAGCGAGTCATAACTCGAAAACAACACTGTCTCGAGCTCTGTTGATACACGAGATAAGAACACCCTGTTCGGATAACGAACGTAGCCTCTGACCTCGGCATATAGGCATATAGCTGCAGCGTCACTCGGGTGTACGCTTGGCGTTCGAATTACGATTTTAAATCGGTTTGTCGACTTGTGAAATCGCAGAGCCTTGGATCCATTTGGCCTGAAGTCTTTCAAAAGTCCTAGATGCCGTGGCTCGGCGCGTTGTCTCGGACTGCCTCGCGAAAGGAGACCCACCAATTTTGGTCCTGGTCAGTTTTCGTGGCAATTGGGGCCCGGGGTATAGCGTCCTCAATTGATGGCCTTGCAGAAGTCCTCGATGACAATTAAGTTCGGATGGAAGGTAATAAGATTGTGGCTCTCTGGGAGATAGAGATCCATGATGAAGGTATATGAGCACGTTCCATCAACCATTCGGTTTGACAGAAGACAGCGCTTCACATCTTGTCATTCCGCATTCGCAGGACGCTTTGACTTGTGAGTGTTCGCCAGTGCCCGCACAAATAGAAGGTCAGATCCCTTGCGAACGACTGTTTCTCCAGCCCGTATGGGCCACTATCAAAGGGCCCCGGTCGAAGGTATGCCATGGAAGATTTCATAAATCTTGTCCCGTCTACCAAAGAAATCTGATTTAATGAAGCAGACTCAAAACGCCCGGAGCTTCGGGCCTGAACACGGCTATCGAGTCAGGTCTGAACTTGCCCAAATAATCCCGGCCAGGCTCAGCAGCCAGGCGTCGGCCACATGACGGCGTCGTACTGCTTCTTGAGATGGCGACGGCATTTTGATTAGCAGTGCAGCCAAAGTAACAGTAGATACAGGTCTTCACCCTGCCCTGGGCCCCAGATCGACGGACCTTGGGGCCCAGACGCCGAGCCATCTCAAAGGCGTCAGCGAAGCCGTCATTCTGGTTGAAGAGTGCAAGGCTGCCAGTGGCCAACGCCTTCGTGGCCTCCCGCTGCTTATCGACCAAAGCGCGGAAGAGACGCGCCTGTCTTGTCATCTAGCTGGCAAGAGGAGTCGCTTCCCTGCGTCGTCGATAGGTACAGTCTTAAGGACCTCCTTCATCAGCAGGAAATGATTCACTTCATCCTGCACCTTCGAAGGTTTTAACATCCTCTATACTTAGATGCCAGAGAATTTGATCCTCCACTAGGGCTTGTCGATGGAGACGGTCTGCTCCAATATACCGACAGCCAGAATGTCTGGCTCGTCGAAGTTCTCTCTTCCCAGTATTGTGGGTTGAGCTAGATGTCGCTGTAGGGGAGCGACTGATAGGGTGCAAGCAAAGACCACGGAATCAACTGAACTCTCCCAGGCCACACGCGATATGTTGTCTGCAATAAACCAATGGGCGGCTGGAGCCTTCGGAATGAAGATGGGCACTGTCATTGTCCGCAAAACGAGACAGGCATGAGTGAAGTCTCGAAGAATTTGCGGGCCCGGGGTTGGTTGTTGTCATTATTGACGTTTCAAAAGCCTCATGGTGTTGAGCATTGCTATCGCTGATTTTGTGGAGTGGTTGAAGTTTGATATAAAAGGCTCTAGGAGACCTGCACCGGGGGGGATCGACCTTGATACCAGATCCGGTTGGACCGGAGGTGTGGCTATCCTGATCAAAGGAGCCAAGGTTCTCAGTCCAGCGACTAGAGGTACGAGAGGTCGAGAGAGACGACAGTACCGAACACTCCAGAATACTTGGTCATTGAGTTCAGAAAGCTCGCGGCACTTGTGATCTGCCATGGAAACGGACTTCTGGTTGTCACACCACCGAAGACTTGCATTTGAGGGGTCTTTGGTGCGTCCACAGCTGAAATGATCTCGGCGTCTCGTTCGTGGACTGGGTGATGATAAGAAAGACTTGCGGGCCGGGCGTACTGTCACAGATGCCTTGAAGATGTATCCATTGCACCGCCTATTCCTTGGCGATCCGAAGAAGCTGCACCATCTGGCCATAATCAGGCCCGGTGAAGATAGAATCGTAGCGGACGCCCTTCAACTTATTCTTGGCTGAGAAGAAGGGCCCCCACCCACGCGATCAGATCTTGCATATAATAGCCTACTTGCGAAGAAGTAAGCCCGGCCTCTGTTGTTCCGAATCCACAAGCTAAGGGGACCTATCCAAGACGAGATGACCATTGAGTACCACCGAATAAGACTGCATGGGCCCGGGGCTTCAGATCTTCTCAGAGTGCGAATAAGGTCAATAACGGTGTAGTGTTCGTCGTCAATGTGTTGTGTTGTTGACACAGAGTGATCAAGAAGACAAAGAAATACAACAGCAATGGGAATGCGTGTATACAAGACAGGATGAGCTAAACCCTACTACATTTTTCGGGTATTTCGTAGGGTTACAGTTGGAATCATATAAGAAATTAATCGAAACATGAAATTTGGGATAATAGACCCGTGCTCTTGTGCCAAAATCATGCATTGTAACGTCCTGTACTGCGAGGTTTAGGCATGGCCTTCAAGGTTTCTCATGAGCCATGCCGCGACTATCCAAAACGGAAGGGCCGAGAAACTAAGTTCTAGAGTCGAAGGGGACGGCGTTACGTAGCTCCTTGGAGTCTGGCAGCATATGGTGGCTGAAAGATTGGGCCAGCCAACAGCTCGGCACGGAGAGAATCCTGCCAACCAAGAGCAAAGCCTAGTGAAGTCAAAAGAGACGCAACGAGGATGAGCACGAGAGAATCGAGGTGGCATGAATAAAGAACATGGCAGCAGTCTCGCTTTCTTTGCCAGCATCGCTGGTTGTGATATGCCCGAATTTCCCTCAGGAAAGCCGCCCTCTGTGCCAGGTTTCGCATGAAAAGTCCTGTTGTTGTTGCGGTCCTTGATTATATTCTCTACAATAAGTCAGCGTCTGCGTCACGACAACGGAAAAAGATTCGACACTGACCCTCTTCATTTGCACAGATGCTTCCAGTACGTTCAGCGCAACGGCCGAAGTGGCAAGGCCACACATCAGGGCCACGAGAGTTGTTACTTCCGCGACACGGAATATTTGTGGCAGGTGCGCCAGCTCGGGAAGGGCAGGGTCTGGTAGGTTGAGAAGATTGCAACGTGGGATCGTTGGTGCTGGCCAACGTGATGTGCTTGTCGCATCCAGAGTCGGCATCGCCTTCCGGGTTAGTGTAGACAGAGGGTTTCGGAGTGGAACGCGCCTGTGGCACTGAAAGCGGCACAATTGGCGAGGTCGAAGTTGTGGAAGACATGGCCAGTGAGCCGGTTGCGGGCCATGGTTGGCAGGGTAAGCGGTCTGGCGGAGGGAGCCTGCGCGCGAATCGAGTCGAGGACCGTTTGAGCCTGGTTGGGCGAGTTCCAATGTGTGGAAGACCCAATATGTGGAAGGTCCCTGGCGACAGGATAGGTCTTGATGTACAGGTAGATGAGAAAGACAAGGACGAACAAGGGTGACACTGAAGACGACGGGGACGATACAGATGACAGCAAGGGCGATACCAAAGGCGACGGGTACGGAGGATGAAGCTGACGGCCAGGGCGATGGGGAACGAAGCAGGACAATGGAGATGTTGACGGCAAGAACAATGATCCATAATAGAGCTCCCTAGACACAGCTGCATGCTGTGGGAGATGAAGCTGGCCAGGGTGCCCTTGCTTCCCTGGGAGGAACGCAAGGTGTGCGATGATGGTGTCCAAGAATCTGGGAAGGAGGAGGAAGTTCCGATTCTTTTTATGCGCTCCATCACTGGGTATTTTGGCCATACGTCACCTCCTTCCCACATTTCTGCCCATGCAGACTCACAGTTTCCACCCAAACTTGGAAGACACTCTTTTTGCCGTTTGCTTAGACGCAGCTTCCTTGTCGTGTTACCTCAAGCTGGTTCTGGCTGGGTTTCCATCGGCTGCTCGTGGCTTCCCTCCTACAAATCGCGCTTTCCCGGGACGTTTGTGCTTTTGCGATGCCCGATTGCTGTTGCCATGTGTTTGCCAATTCGACCGACCAGACCAGTAACCTAGGCACTTGTTCGGGCTGTGGCAAGCTCGATGCCCGCCATTTTCGGTCCGCACATCTTGTGCTTTTCGCACCCATCCGTCCGCAAACCCAACGTCACAGAAACATCCCACAACCACGACAACATCCCCAACAGCATAGCACTTTTCATTGTCAATCAATAGACCCCACACACTAGAGTCACTTCAACATCAAACTACAACGCTATTGTCTCTACAACGTACACATGGCTCGGCTCATCACTCTGCCCCTGGACCTTCTCGACGTGGAGACAACCTCCGACGATCTTGCACCCATGCAACGAATCCGCGGATACGGATTCGGCGTACCAGATCCCAAGAACAACGAAAAGAGCTATGGCTTCGATAGTTCTGATTACGAGCCGTCATTACACAGGAGCCGGCGGCGGCGATTCAAGTCAGAGCACAAGCTCTGGCCCTTGAATTGCGACCAATTTGAGATCCTCCACTTCTCTGCACCTTCGGATCTGGCTCATTTTCTTTACGTCATGGGAGCAGTTGACCCGAACTTCCGTGATTTTGTTGCCATGAAGGAGTTGTACTTGGCAATCAGACCGATTGACAAGGACACTTTGGGATGGCCGTCGGAAGAGGCAACAGCACTCCTGCAATTTGCCTCGAGGTTAGGTTTCTCACTGTCTCAAGAGCTTAGACTAGCACTCGAGGAGTTTCTCACCGGGTCAACGCCACCCCCGGATGCCCCCCGATGCCCGCACACACGTGAACAAATACGGATGGCAAATCTGGCCTGCGCTGCCCTAGTCGCTATGGTGTTTCAATTCACACGGCACGCGGTGGAATACATCTCGCTCTACATTGAGGCAGACATCCTTGACATCGTTCGGGATTGCATGGGCGACGCGACCATCAATCCTCTTTCTCAGCAATACGAAGACAACAAACCTTTCCCAAACATAAAGCTGTTCGCTTGGAGGTCTAGCCTCCTGCGCCCATGGCGCTAGAAGCTCGGTTTGGATGGCATAGTCAACTTCGTCACTTGGGCTAGGATCTCGGCAGTCGACATCAACGGAACCACTTACCCTGAAGTGTGCCGGATCTTTCAGGTTCCACAAGGAGTTCTGCTTGATGGCAATTGCATTACCAATCTCAGTCTTCGCGATGTCATCATCTTCCATGACAACCTGGCTCGTCTCATCAACCACTTGCCAAACGTTGTCCACTTCAGCCTAGAGCTCAACCACGATCTGTTTGAGCCCGGAAGAAACACCGAGTTGCTTGAACCGCTGCCAAGCCAGGTGATCGAATGTTTGCAGCCGTTGTCTCTCAGGTTGCAATCACTTACCTTGGTCATCGAAGGCACCGAGGGTGTTGCTTGTCCGTTAGTGTATCTCGTATCGACACTCGCAAAGTTCCTGTTCTTGAAGAAGCTACGTATCGGGATGTGGTGCTTCAGAGGCGAACTTCTAGACCATCTACCACCTTTCATCACACACCTGGATATCCCAGGCTCGAAGGACAAAACAGGCGAACGGGCCATCAGCACTGTATTGGATAGGCTATTTGCGGTCTCGCAAGTTTGGCTACCACGGCTGCAGCAAATCAAAGCCCCTTTCCGTCTCCCTGTTCCTTTCAACAGGTCGATTCAGGTAGAACTGAATCAAGAGATAGTATAATAGAACAGAACGGTTATCCTCTTTCTCATTCTTGATGTCGTCCATGTCGTTCTTCTCGCCCCTATCGTCGTCCATCGTCGTCGTCCATCGTCGCAGTCAATCGTCTAACCCTTATTGCAACCCCTATCGCTTTCTTTACTACTGTCGTCCTTATTATTGGGTACGCTGGCTAAAGTTATAGGGCACATTGCCCGGCTAGCAAGACTCACCGGAATACACTTTGATGGTCTACATGCCACCACGGATTCAGCGGCGATGATGGCTGAATTGACGGGCTTGGAGGGAGGCAGGGATGAATACAACGGCATCTTCTGAGTTCGTTAATTGATTTGACGAGTGACCCGTTGGTTCCTCTGACTTTGTTGCCGCGAGTCTGTCGAATCTCGACTCAGACAAAGCACACACACGGTGAGCATGCGGATGACACGGGTCAATAGAATGAGAAGTCGTCCCAAACCAATGCTCCGCCCCGGCAGCAAACTCATGGATGGGAAGCTCCTGATGAAACGAGCGAGTTTTGCCGAGGGCATTGCATCCCGCCGGGATGGCATGGGCGACGCTGCTAGGGGGGCTGGTGGATCCGATACGTCTTGGCCGGCAGGAATTGCCGGGAGTTGCGGCCATGCAGGCGGTTGACTTAATGTGGCTGGCATCCCCCGGGATGCCAGAGTTGCGATGATGTCTTGGCGCAGTCTGATGAATCTTGCCCTTTCAGACGAGTGAGAGGATGGAATGAATGATTTAGTCGTGATGCTATGTCGTGATGCTACGTGAATTACTGTTTCCATGCTGAAGACACTGCATGCCTGAGTGAAAGTTCACTCTTGCGCCCCGACGAACCGCGACGACAATTTGCCTGCCACGGAGAATTCGCATGGCGCCAAATGCTCCGCCCGGAGCGATCCGAAGCAATCGTGGGGCGTACGAGCCCTTCGTATTCGAGGAGCCATTGAACCGCCAGATCTGGTACCGGGGGCGCACTGCTCTGTAACCCGTTTCAGAAACTCGAGACGAACCTGAAGTTGCATTTTCCAATGTTCCCTTCCTCCACCGTCCCAGCCCGGCTTCCCTCTTCGTCCAGGAACCGTCTCATGATCCGCTGTGTGGTTTAAGCATCGTCCAGTTAGAGTAAAAGGCTCGTCGCTACCAGGAAGGGTTGGGTCCGGACGAGTCCGTTCGGAGGCCGAGTGCAGCCTCGATCTGGAGGAGCAGGGGGTGAGATCCAGTGATCCCTGTCACTGAGCCGCAATTAACCACAACGTTGTTTGGGACTGGGTTTGGAGGACCGAGTCTTTCGCAGAGTCAAAACAATCGGCGGTATAAAGACTCGCGCTCTCGGCGCGGCTTGACCTATTGCTACCCTTTTTCCTTCGTCAAGCCACTCTTCCCAGTTTTCTTTGATCAATCCTTGTGCAACTCGACTTTCATTCTTTCCGCTGCGCGGCTAAACATTCACTATTTACCTTACAAACAACTTATTCGTTCCCAACCCACGACTCTTTCACCCCAGTCAAAATGCAGTTCTCCATCACCGCCATCATCCTCGGCCTCGCCGCCGTCTCCTCCGCCGCCATCGCCGACGTCGAGGGCGTGCGCAACGTCGAGCGCAACTCCATCGTTCTCGACGCCCGCCAGGCTAAGAAGGCCACGGGCGCGTGCTGCATTCCCAACACGTCGCTGAAGCAGGATGCTTGCACTGATGCGGCGGGCGCGGCGGGCAAGTGTGTACCTGGAGGACCTACTGCTTGTAAGTTCATGACTTCTCAACTACTCCGGTCTCATTTGACTTTATCCTTGGACTTGGGACTGACTTTTCGGGATGCCATAGGCGGCGGAGCGCTTAACTGCGTTGCTACTACAAGCTTGGCCTGCGACAACAGCGTCAAGGAGCGTTCCGGTGTTTTGTGCCGTTTCAAGCTGCCTAATGGCAAGCTTCAGGATGGTGTCAACCAGATTACCAGCCTGAGCCAGGCCAAGGTCAACTAAAGAGAAGGGAATGCTTGAGTGGGAGCTTAGGGGGGTTGGTCTTTCGTTGAGATATTGTGTCTTTGCGAGGATTGATATATAGTAATTGGAACTTCGTAATTACTTCAGTTGGCTTGCTTGATAGGTGTGAGTGATATGGCGCACTGATGCGGTTTTGAAGAATTCCTTTTGTGAAATCCGGATTAAGTTTTGAGAAAGCGAGGGCGTAGAACACGCGGTACCATCAGCCTACTCCAGCGACCCAAAGTTCTGGTAGATTCGCAAGACAATCGCGCAGGCGAATCGTCGCGTCGGAAATTCTGAGTTTGCGGAATAGATTGGCGCTCACGACTTCTCCCTAGGTCTCGTATCCAAAAGAGGGCCAGCAGAACTAAATGTTTCCTGGATCTGTCCCAAGAGAGGACGAAATGCAATGCAAACTTCCGATTCGAACATGGCGGCACCTGAGAGGACTGAACGCCAGCTTTGCGAACGCGGTCGTTGCCCTTACAGAGACTGAGAGCCGCGAAAGGACCCGGGGCGACTGAACAAAACAGCTCTCCTAATTAAAGGGACGAGCAAACAGAGCGGGGTGGCGCAGAACTCATCACGGCGGAATGGTGATCGCAACTCGATCGCGCTGGACATGATAAGCATCCAAGTAATGAACGCCGTCCCAGTCCTAATTTCTTCTGTGAATATGAATGAAAGCTCCACGATGCTCGTCATCGTCAGTATTGTGGATGAATCGGGTACTAAGCACCTCCATTGAGCTGCTGCGCTCACGGCGGCGGGAACTCGACCGTTCGTCCCATTCTTCGTGTGGATCGTTTGATATGACTGACTAAACTTGCGGCGCTTTCACGACGGCCTCAGTAGCAGATGATCAGACTGCTCTTCAAATTCGCCAGTGGACTTACTGCGTGTGGGAGAAGATAAAACTCCAAGTGACCCTCGAGGGCGTATTGTGCCAATGAGTGATCGCAAAT